TGCTCAGTTTCATGCTCATTGCTTCAGTGATGCTATCTAACCATCTCATCCTCTGCCATCCTCTTCTCCTTTTGCTTCAATCTATCCAGAGTGTGTGCATGTTTCTGAGGTTCCTAGAACTCTTTATTAGCCAAGAAAGGTAAACGGTAGGGCTACCAGAACTGCAAAAACTCAGAAAGCCTCTAAATGATGGCAAAGAAATACAGAAAAACATTTCAATGCCATCCAGTTTTGCAGTTTAGTGGTCTGGCTCTTTATCTTGTCTGCTGCCTTGCCAAATGGGACAATGTGGTAGATGATATCTAAGTAGAACATAAATAAAGTGCCACTATGAAGAATACACTGTAAATAATTGCACTTTCTATAACTTCTGCCATGATTCCTGAAAATAAAATATTTACAATATTTTCCAAGTCTTGCATCTGAAATAATATACAGCTTATTTAAATATAAAAACATACAATTAATTCAAAAACCTTCAGTAGTTAAATATACTGTAATGCAGAACCAATTGTACTGTGTTTATGGTATGGTCTGTTGATCATGGCCAACACCTGGTTTCTTGACATTTACTTGAAAGTGCTCTTCTAATATCAATGGTACTTCAATTAGTCTTGGAATATGCTTTACTTTCTGCTCTACATTATCATTTTTGCTGTATGTACCCCTATGCTATAGCCAGAATTTGGCTTTAAAAAAAAAAATCAAAAATATAATTATTTTTTGTTAGAGGACAAATAACTTTTATTATAAATCAAGCCCATCATTGGTCTACATTTTTAATAAAATTATTTTTAAAAAGGCAATACAGGCTCATTCAAGCCTACTGTTAGATAACATAGATAAATGGGTACTCTCACTGCGGTGGGAGGAAAAATGCTGGCGGTGCCTTGCAAAAGGAGTCAGGAGCAGTTGCCAGTAGCGCGGAAGCTGCGCTCACCCAAAAAAGGCACGAAGCAACGGAAACCCTGCCTCCTGCGCTCGCCAGCTGTGCGCTGCCCTAGGAAGGAGGCACTG